ATAGGTGTTAATTGGAAATCCGAATTCTGAACTGCCACCGCGACCCTTTAGGTAAGTGTAATTAATTTGCGACTAATTAAATGGGTTGCAGAAAACAATAGCCGAATGCATCAAGGTTGATATCGTTGGATGCGCGCTTAATTCCTTAGCCGATTGAGATGTCGCTCAGATGTTTAGGACCGTAGGGGTTTTCAGAATTAATTAAAAATGAATATTTTATTTTCAATGTTATCTTGAATGGACTGGCGCGGGTTGGTAAAACCCGTCCCGAAACCGCCGGAGTTTATCAAAAGGCAAATGCTCATTTTAGAGGTAATAATAATAATAATAATAATAATAATAATAATAGTCATTTATTGGATAACGTACAGAGAAACAATACATAATTCTAGTGAATATTAAACTCATTTTATTATACGTTATACCAAAAGGGCGAAGTTCAGATATGTAGTACAAACTACACTCTGTTCTACCACTTAACCCTTTTAATAATTTATTGTGCTAAGTCAGATAATGGCAAATAATTATTCAACATAGAACCTAGTGAATGTACTTATCCGAATATGGAAAGAAAAAAAAAATGACAGTGATAATATTTTTTTTTTTTTAACACAGAATAAAACTGAAAATACCGAAACTGAAAATAAAAAATAAAATTAAACATATTATCTCAAGTGTGTTTGTTGCTGCTCAAGAAGTTTTAATCTAAGGTTTTCTCTGAAGCGTTTTTGGGAACAGGAGTGTAAATGACAGGAAAGGGAGTTGTAGATTTTCGGGACATTGTAGCTAAAAGACCTTTGATAAAGGACAGTTTGATGTTTAGGAATTGATATAAGGTGCTTTGTTCTAGTATTAAGATTATGTAAATTATGTCTAAATTGAATTTTTTCGTACAGATAGGGAGGAAATTTATTGGAAATAATTTTATGAATAAAACATGCGTGGTTTAGCTTTCTACGATTGGACATATTGAGCCACTTAATTTCGACCAATTTATGCGATATTCTATTGTATTTTCTCAGGCCAAATATTAGCCGAAGACAGGAATTTTGCACACGCTGAACTCTTCCGACGTCAAAGGCATCCAAACATGGGCCATATACATTGTCGCAGTAAGTAAATTGAGACAAAACTAGAGATTCGCATAGCATAATCTTAAGTTTACGGTTTAAAACATGCCTATTGTTAAATATAGTTTTTAACTTTAAGTATGCTATGCGTAAAAGTTCCGACACATGCTTCTTAAATCGTAATGTACTGTCAATTGTCAAGCCCAGGTTTTTGACGCTATCAACATTCGGAAGGAGCGACTCCCCAATTTTTACATTAAGCTGTGGCGCATTCACGTTACGTGCTTTAGTTCTACCAAACAACATCACGAAGCTTTTGTGCGAATTTATTTTTAGCCCGTGCCTCTCCGAAACAACTATCAAATTTTCTAGATCTGCATTCACATTGGTACATGCCTTTTCTAATGCGTGTGCCGGAAATTCGTAAAATAATTGCGTGTCGTCAGCATATAGGTGATACCCACAGTGTTGCAGTACACTCACCATATCCAAGGTGTAGATAATGTATAGAAGAGGCCCTAGAATAGATCCCTGAGGGACACCAAGTACCACCGGACGGGTGTCAGAGGCATCGCCATCCAGCATAACATATTGACTTCGGCCCGATATATAGTTATTAATTAAACTAGATGCGCTGCCACTAAAACCTATGTGCTTTAAAATAGCTATAAGTATATTGTGTGAAATCCTGTCAAAAGCTTTTGAGTAATCCAAAAGAACAAGTACAGCCAGGTTGTTGTTATCAATGGCTCTCATAATGGCATCAGTAATATACGCAAGGGCGGTATTGCAACTATATCCGGGCCTGAAACCAGACTGCATTCGTGGAAGTATATTTTCATAGTCCAAATAAGTTCTTATTTGAGACGCCATAATCTTTTCTACTACCTTGGACAGGCAAGGTAAGATGCTTATTGGACGGATGTCTTTAAATTCTCTAGGATCGTTTATCTTGGCTAATGGTATAACTTTGGCGACTTTCCAGCAATTAGGAAAAATGCCATCAACTAAACAGGAATTCACAATATGCGTAATAATGGGAGCCAAGTAAGGTAAGCATAACTTCCACATACACAGACTAATACCATCCCATCCGACGGAATTACTCTTAAGATTTAAGAACGTTTTTAAAACATCTACTTCAGTAACGAGACTAAAATTAAATTGAGTGGATGATGTTCTGAAAGCATTACTTGTATAATATTGAATAAGTGCGTTTTCATCAGATGTAACCGTCTCAGCTAAATTTATAAAAAAATCATTAATTTTATTTGCATCCCGAAGTTCATTGGGAAGTTCACGTTTGTGTGAGGAACTGATGCCAAGTTGCTTTAATTTTTTCCATCCGTTAAATATCAAGTTTTCCTGAATACCGATTACCTAGGGCAATTGTAATCGTCTACGATATCGCCGTCCCGACCAGAGGCAGGGCTCCGCATCCCTGTGGTGGCGCTCGAGGATCCTGACCGACACCGCCGATCAATCAGGAGTATCTTATTTATTTTGTTAATTATTATTCCTTTCCTTCCATTAAATTTTCCGACTTATTTTATTCTAAGACTTTGGTTTTTTTAAGCCACCGCGGATTTATGAAATTTTCTCAACTGTCACAAAACATGAACACAAATATTAAAAAATATGTCTACACTAGTAAATACACTACACTATTAATGTAAATAACGACTAACACAACATACAAAACGTTATAGTGTTTAGAATGGCAATACAACAAAAAAAACGAATAAGCTAAGGGTACGGGGGTAAATGCTAAAACTAAGGGAATTCTTCCATATGTCCCCATAATAACTATCTAAATGAAGGTGTTTTTAAAACTTCGTTGTTTCAGTTTACCAGAATTGCAAATTACACCCGATGGTTCGTTTTGAAATGAGTCCTGTAGGTATCGTTACGGCATTTGACATTGTTTTTTTTGAATATATTTTTTTATTGTAGTCAGTTTGGCGTAGCGATTTAAGACTAGGACTCTAACCTCACAGGTTGTGAGTTCGAATCCCACAACGTGCCAGTTTTTAGTGGTACAGCCCATCTCCATCTACCATGCTTCGGAGGGTCTCGAATTTTGGAGACCAAGGTTCAGTCTCGTCTTGTGTCGTCTCGACGAGACAAGACTAACCATCAGTCTCGACGAGACTCTCGTTTGGTCTAGAAGTTTTTTTTTTGTATTTATCTGTACTTTTTTTTTGTAAATTTTAATCAAGAAAATCCATTAAAGTAGCACGAATTCTAATTGTTTACATAAACCGTTCCTGACCTTACCGATTTAGGGCCTAATTACCATAGTTCTTATACAACTGTAATTTTTCGTAAATCCAGGAAGCCTTCGGACAATTGATTTATTAAACCTGTACCCTCAATAGCAGTATACCTGCTTACTCAAATAATGGTAATTGTCTACGCGGGAAAAACAAGATTTGATAGGATGTCGCGGATTCCTTTCTATTAAAAGCCCTTAATGCTTTTCATTGTATTTTCACAAGTTTATGGCATTACATCGTTTCTAGGTATATCTCAATTTAGAACAGTGATTACAACCGGGTATCTCGTTTTTGATTGGTAGTTCGTTCTGGTCGCCATATTGGGGGTAAAATGCTATATAACTCTCGCCAGGAAAGATTGCCGGTCACAGCACACCTTGTGTCGATCTACAATCTATGTTTTTCTTAAGATGCGAGCGAATTCCGGAATAGGATCGTGCCAATGTTGAACGAAAAGTCTTTTTGTCAACATTGACACGATACTATCCCGGAAGTCGCTCACATCTTTAGAAAAACATAGATTGTAGACCGGGATATAGTGTTCTCTGACCGGCAATCTTTCCTGGCGAGAGGTTTAGGTACTTTAGTATCAGTGTACACTTTTTTGTGTTCTTGCGAAATTCTGTGAATAAATGCGCTGCTTAAGGTAAAATGTACATATGACATTATCCAAATACAGTTACTGACTGTAGGTATAGGTACTTACATATTTACCGCGTAGTTAGGACCATAAAAGTAAGATTTTACAAAATAACTAATCTTCAAGTATTTAAGTAACAAAGATTTTAGTGAGACTTTCCTACCTAGTTACATTATCAGATACATTTTATGAAAGCTAAAATTGTTTCGTTCACGCACAAGTTTGAAAGAATACTAGGATACCGTAATTAATGCTAAATCAATTAATGCCTTGCTATTTTCAAGCCGATTTCACGCTTTATAGTCATGTTGTACGTAAAAAAATCAGTTTTCATACGTTCATGGGGTTAAGTCGCTTCTATTCCATCTTTTCAAGCAACGTAATTATACATCATTCACACAAAAATTTAATTAATTAAATCTCGCGTCCGGAAGAGTGCGGCTTCAATAAAAATATACAGTCATGGTTACGATAACAGTATAAACTCCGCTCAAGTCCTAACGTTCGTGCTTCTGTAATATCCCCTCAATAGAAGTCGAAAAAAAGGCAGCTATAAAATCCGGATTATTAAATTTGTTAGTAAAAAAGGCAAAAAGTTAAAAGTTTGCAGGAAAAATTATGTAGCAGAAAAACTGATGTACCACAATTTCCGGTAGATATTTTTAAAACATCGCAGGAAGTTTGCCTTCAACACGCGGAGACTTTTAGTATGTTAAATGACACATTTCCAAATGAACTATAGGGATGTAGACTTTTAAGATGACTAACTTTTATTTCTGTTTCAGTTCAATTAATGTAATGAGTCGATAACCCAAAATTTTGACAGGCTATTCGTATTCATCACGGCACCAATACTTTTCCGATGTAGCTCAATTTATATCGTTAAAACTCCCTTCGAGCGGTAAGTAATTAATTTGCTGCGGTTCTTTTCTGCACTTATTTTCTTCGTTATTTTATTAAAGGCTAAAGTTTCCTTATGTTATAGATACTAATGCAAAAATAAAAATTACTTACTGTCAAGGTAGAGCTTTTAATAGGTTTACCACCAAGAAACCACGAAAGCTTGGCAGGAGGCGAGGAGCCTGAAGTTTCGCAACGTATCGTATGCACCTTGTTGACAGAAAGAAGATCGTTAGGCGAAACGATCTTTACCTTGTTGGGTTTCACTGCAAAATTATAAAAAGGATTAAAATTTAATTTTAGCCATCGGCGTTTATATGGAAGGGCTACGTTTTTGTCGGTTTTTATTGTGTGCGCGTTTAAATCGGATTCAATCCGCTAAACATTCCTTTCGTTGTTTATAGCACGACTATCCAGCAGGGAGCAGTTTAAGGGAATAATTTATTTTTATAGTGGTTGTTGAGTTTAGGTTAAAATCAACTGACGGCCCTAATTTGTTCTTCCTATAAATTACTCTTTGTAAGTTATTTTGCGCAAATAAAAACTTATATATCACCCGCAGTCTCTACAAGCTCTTCCATTATTTACATTACGTATCTTTCCAAGATTAAATTTCGTTTCAATATTCGGAGTACACATTACAAAATCCTGCATTTATATCAATTTAAATCCAGTAAAATTAATTCATAAATCATATGTGACAGAAATTTCAATAACGCTACGATAAATCTCAAATAACTTTACAACAAAGCAAAATTGGATAAAACTGTAAACAATTTGCGTTAAAATATGATTCATTTGCCCTAGTAAATACTATTGTGACAGTTTTGTTAGTCCGTATGCGCACTTACGGTAGACTTTTAGGGAGATTTTTCGTACGATATCGCCGGCAAGATGAGACGAGGATGCCTTACACTCCAGGTAGGTTCCGTAAAAGTTTCGAGGTAAGCGGGATATTACCAAGTCATTAACAATTTTGTACGATTCTAATGAAGAGTCAATAACACCATCCAAAACAGTTCCATTATGCCACCAACTTACTGACGGACGCGGTCGACCTACAAATTTTAAAAATTAACATAAACTAAGTGTGAACTCGAGCTTTACCTCCATTTACTTGACAGGATAGAAACAGTTCACGTCCCTCTAAAAAAGGTCCCGCATCTGAGTTAACCTCTTTACCCTCAACGTCAAAGACTTTCGGCTGAGATGGCTGCACTGTAAGAGAATAGGTAAACAATAAAGAAGTTTAGTAAAAAATCTCTTTAAAATGCAAATTTTTGTTTTGTACGCTAAACAATAACTGTTGTGATTCAAATATCGATTTTAAAAGTAAAATGAGTTAAAACTCTGACCTACTAAAGTTAGGTTAACTTTAAAGTTGCGTGTTGGCGAGTTAATGAAATCGACGCGACATCGAAACACCCCTTCATCTTCCGCGTTGATTTTCTGAATTCTGAGGCGAGCTTTAGCCGGTTCTTCGTCGATTATAAAATAGGAGCGGGAACCGAGCTCGTCGGTCATTGCTAAATGCGATGCTTCACTTAACGGACCCCCTCTTGCGTCCAAGCTGTAATTAAAATAATCGGTTACACACTACATAATCGATAGAAACTCTGCTAACGTAGCACACATTAGTGATCATTGCAAAGGTAAGCAAAAGAAAGTTGTAGAAACTTCATGAAGTAAACCGTATTTGAGGTGAAATCAAGCGGAAAAAAGGACAGACTATTTCCCCAAAGATGATACTACCTTGTTAGTGGACATTAAAGAAACTTCTTGAAGTCGCTTTGGTGACAGGAACTCTAAAAATACCTTCCTTCCCTTTTCACAGTTCTATTCTAGAATACGGGATTAAAGGAGTAACATAGGATAAAGCTCACACAACATTCTTATTCAGTTACTCAGTTACATAAAATACTATTTTAATCTAAATTCCTTTCCTTTTTTACAAGTGGGGAAAATGACAACTTTGCCACACACATACAATTTCGAGATGACGAACAGCTACTTAAATCAAAATTATACAAACGCGGCGTTGTAGAAGCGCAATTAGCGACGCTTTTCAATCGGCAGATGCTCAAATTGTTTGTTTTCCTTGTCTGGTAACACGTATACAAACCGACGTAAGTTTATCTAACATCGATATGCGAACCAATTTTTTATTTTATAGACAGTAAAATTTTGAATGAAAGTAGTGAATTGGCGCGTTCTAAAATGCGCTCAACATATTTTCATTCGCCAGAAATAAGAGTACATTATTTATTATTATATTATCCATCGCGTCTGCCTAGCTGGAACATATCCTTTTATAATTCCGTACACATATGAAGCATTTTAATAAACGGTGTACAATTACGAAACGAAGAATTATTTGATTAGAACAGTTTTTATAGACATATTTGACTAAGCATAAAGTATTTGAAATTCAAGTGATCACCCTGTATTTAGATAAATGTGACTAATGTTATTCCCATGTAAATTTTTTATGTTGGACATCCACTTTGACTATATGGTGGTAACTAAGGCCACCATTGGAGATGAGTTTGTAAAGTCCCTTTACTATATACAATTCGAGACAAACGTAACAAACTATAAAAACTTTACATTAAGCTGAAAGAGTTCGGGAGATTAATTTGAGTTCTCTAGGCCGAGAAGCGAGAATGCAAACAGTATAGGGTGGTTGCGTTTGTTTGTTTTAAGGAAAATATCAACGTGATAACAGATTACGCCGCTTGATTCCACATTCCAAGGAACAAAATGGTATTGCTGGACTGCCGAATTTGGAAATTTCATTCCGACTATTTGGATAAGTATAATTAGCCGTAATTAGGTGAATGGGTTACAGCGGAAAACCTCCGATTTACGCAATGTCCTACGTGAGTGTCAACATGCTCAAATGAACATTTAGATAAATAGAAAATGCACTATGAAATAGGAGCTTTTTACTTTTGGATTTTCGCAGCTACGCCTTGTATGTAGTACCGAAATTTTGAGCTTTACCGTAAATTTACGTTTGCTACCGTACCGCATTATTAAATCATCAGATTTTTCTTTTGGTATTTTAACCGTATTTAAATCTTTTTGCCTTTTGCATTAAGATACCGCATTGTATTCATTACAATTGTCGAATTTTTGTGCTACCGCTCCGTTAATTTCAAGGTAAGCTATTTGTTACTTTCCGTTTCACTATTTATACGGCTTTCTGCCGATTTCGTGGATTTGTGTTTTATTGCTTTCACTTCCGCTAGGAAGTTTGTCGTAATTTTGTTTTAGTTTTTCCGAAATGACCGCCGCCATTTTCTGAACCCGCTCGATTCCTGGAGCTGTCGTTTCTCCGGTTGAGTTTACACCTGAGGCTTCCCAGACCGACCCGCAAGACCGCTGCTGCCGCCGACCTTGACCAGGCGCGAGGCCGTTCACTTGGTGGCACTTGAGTCTGTCCGTTTGTATATTTATTTTTCTTTGAATTAAATTGAAAGTATTATTCCGCTATGGATTTTTTTTATTTAAAAGGCTCACCGGCGGTGCGCGAACCCCAAGTTCGTCGCATTTCAACGCATAGCCCCACACTTTCTCTTTTCTTCCTCTAACTGCATTTTTGTGTATTTCACACTCCACTCCATAGCTTTCTCATCTTTACCAACAAACGAGAACGACCTACTTTACTGTAGGTATGGATTTTTTTAATTCATTCGTTTTTGGGACTACGAGAGATTCTGTATAAAATTCCCAAAGGAGAACCATGTAGTAAGTGGCCGCGGTAAAAGATTCGTTCCGAAATTCACCAGAGTGAAAGTTGGTATTTTTTCGGCCAAATCATATATATTTTGAGTGATATGACTACGAATAAAAATACCATAAAATTCGATTCATATTCAAGCCTTTATTTCGGATATTGGTTTGATTACCACGAATTTTATTGTGGAAAAAACTAACTCCTCTAATTTATTGAATTAAGATTAAGATCATCAGAACCAGCAATTAACAAGACAGCATCTGAATTCAACAAAAAGAAGTCCGCGTAACCTCTTAAGACTACAAGTGTAAGTAAGTGACATTTTTTTTATTGTCATCTGTTTGATGAACGTTAAAATTGTTTCGGTTAGATTTCATTTACGTAGTATTCGGGAAAGATGGGGTTTAATTAGATTTAAGGATTGTTACTGATTTTAAATTTGGTGACGTGTGTTTACGAACCCAATAAATTTAGAGTCTCTAATTTGGGCAAGCCGAGTGTTTGTGGAACTAAATGCGATTTTGTTTGTAAATCTAGCTTTTGTGGCATTTTGAAGTCATTCTCATCAACGATTAGTGGAGTGACTTATTTATTAACGATCCTTGAGATCGTTTACAATTTTGTATTGTCTGTCTGTCCGTGTGCACGATAACTTTGTTTAGAAACGTCCCTTTGAAAATTGATACACATGTTCTGAAGGGTATAAGAAAGGTCGCTATTGTTTTTCAGCTGCACAGACCTACTCCTTACTAATCATCCCTTTAATATAACACGTGATTTATAACATCAAGTCTAAAATTGTAATTGTCATAATTACGTCTTCTCCTGTTTGTTTTTCCCCCTCAATAACGAAATCGTAATCCTGCTCTTAATGCAAAAATATGGGGTATGATATTTTTAGATGCTCGATATACACGCATGCGGAGAAAACAACGCCTAAAATACAGAAAAACCAACAGAATGAGATTTTATCTATGTTTCATAAAAACGAAAAGATTAACGTTTCTTGGAAACAAGATATTTAATAATCCGTCAGCTACGAAACACATAAAAATGTTTAATGTTTTACACGAAATATTAATTTTAGGTAGTCGAGTATATTTACACGTTACGTGAAAAATCCCTTCACACGAGCCACACGAATTTTATGTTTCCTATTTGATTGCCTAAGCTTTATTTTCCGTTTTTAGGAATGTTAAAATTTATTGCTAAAGGTATCGAATAACGTTCGTTTGGTTGCCGTATTGATTAATTTTTTATTTCTCTCATTTCAGTAACACGTGTGCAGATTTTAAATTTTCAAGTTTATTTAGCGTTTCTGGAAACCCTAAGATCCCTTCTTTTTTGTGTTTCTTTTGTATTCAGACCGTAAATACTCTTAAATCGAACTTGGCGAACAGGAGCAACAAATGTTTGCTTCTTTTTCAGTTCGGAGAAGTGAACAATCAAAAGTTAACCGACATTATACCAGGCGTTACATTGTTCAAATGAAATGCTTAGGCACAAATGTTATATTTCGTTTAACAAAAAATAAACAAACGTTTTATTTCGTGGTTTATACACACGGCAAGGAGTTGGAAGAAGTATAACAAAGCGTTATCGAACTGAACTTTATTCTATTCTCTAATTAAATCCCAAAATAAAAAAACACCGAGAGAATACCAAGGAAAGTTCACCTCTTGATTGGCCCTGAGCCCATGTATCACAATTCTCTGCACTTGATCAAACTCAACCCTTTTCATACTTCTATAAAAATAAATGATTTGTTACCTACATGTGTGAACAAAATTGTTCCCACTTGGAGAATTTGTTTTGTTGTTAGCTTGTTTATTTCCATTGAATATGTTTCGCCCTAATTTAAAGGGGGGGGGGGGCTGTCCTGTCGCTACCACATGATCCATGACCTACGCCCGCCATTTTGAGATCTCCAGTCGTCACGGCTACAATCTACATCAATTCCCTTTGTTTTAAACTCAATTAATTTAACGAAAAACCTGGCAGTATGTAGTTTTTTTGTCTCGTTGCGTTCCAATAACTTTGTATTTGCGACCAAGCACTGATTAATCGATGTCAATTTTGTTTTTGCCTATCTAACTGCATTTGTCACCTCTTATCTTCGTTTCAGAGCTTTACTTTGCCGTAACGTCAATGTTTTTTGAATGAATTAGAGTACTGCTACCCATAATATATTTCCAAGTTTAACGCGCATTAAATTGGCTTTTACTATTATTAAATTTATTATTATATTATATTAATACATTCAAATTGATTTTTAAATTCCTTATAGATGCGATGGTTTAGACAATTAGTTTTTTCCTACAGTACTTTCCCATATTATATACTACCATCAAGTGCCTAAGATTACATATAGAGGAACCTCCCGGTCTTCTTGGTGGCTTTATTTAAAACGCCTGTCTTGACTGAGTTACCGAGCCTTGGCGTTTTATATTTGTGCCAGCACCGTTTTGAATGTAACGGTCCACTATCGAAAATTAACTCGATTACCCAAAAGGATGCATACCCTTTGCAGTTTGTTTCATTGATCTTAGGTCAATGACGCGTCGTTATAAGAGTCTCGTACCGAAATAAATCCGCGTATTGGAAAGTAGAAGATGCTGAAACGAACGTACACGATTTTAAAGTCGGTGATTGCGATAAGAGTTAATTAAATTTCAAGATACAGTCAGTCTTTGTGATTATAAAAGTCTGTTATAGAAGAAAGTTAGTTATAGTGCCCCAAAAGTCATCCTCCATGGCGGTGAAGGGCCGGCCCGTGGGGCGCAGTTCAGTTAAAGCTGAACTGTGGTGCTAAGGGTCCCTGGTTCGGGCAT